TCTTGCGACCCCTAAGTGTCGATGGTTTAAATGAGACTGGCATTAGAGGAAAACTAAGGATCACTACTCGATGTTTATGGCTCGACAAGGGGAAGCTTTTAGATGCTCTTCATAAAGCCGCTCATGCAGCACTTTCAAGCTGCCCCGTAAATTGTCCTCTAGCCCACATGGAAAGAACTGTGTCTGAGCTTCTGAGGAAGATGGTTAGAAAATACAGTGGTAAGAGGCCTGAAGTCATAGTCATGGCTGTGGAGAACCCTGGAGGAGTTCTAACTGAAGAGCTTGGTACAAGGCTTTCAGGCAAGTCCAACACTGGAATTGGGATACCAGCATTGAGAAAAGCTGTTGATGGACAACCAACTAAGAGCCACTTAAACAGCATAAAACCAAATGGAAATGACGATTTGCATTCTGAAGATAACTCAAGTCAGGAGTCTCAAGGTTTTTCCCCCCATGTATTTCCACATCTTTCCTTGCATGTTTGTGCATATCTGGAACACTCTGCATTTAGAAACCTGTAATCCTCGTTTTCAGGCATAGTCCAGATACCAGGTCAAGGGTGATGTAGGGATATCTTCTGTAGGTTAGCTAATAAAATTCAAGAAGTTTTGGATCAAATTTAATGGCATGACTGTACATTTTTATGCATTAATAATAGGAGTATTAGGGCTTACTTGAGTTGAAATGCTTCGTCAGAGTTCTAGTCTTCGGGTAAATTTTACTTTCCCCCCAATTCTCTCATTGGAGAGCTCTATTTGTAAACATAGTACCAATAAGTAATCTGAAGTAACAGTTTGATGTCAGCATGGAAGAAATTCTGAGATGTTCTTTGTTTGTTGATCAACTTGATTCAGAAAAAAATCAAGTTGCATGGAAAGGTTTAAGCTGTTTGTCATTAGCCAATGGATTGTATAGGACTGGTCACTGACTTGTATGGAATGTATTATACTAAAAAGATATAATTCTATTGACATGTGACATTAATGATTAAAATAGTCCAGATTCCAGATTTATTGCAACAGTTGAGCATTTTACTTTTGAATTTAATGTTTTGATTAGCAGTTTACAGGTCTCTGTTGTCGAGCCTTCTCATGCAATGCATGGGGATATGGTCGTATATCCAGTTGTGGTTTTAAATGAGCGTTTCCTTTTTTCTTTTCCTAATCTTTTTGTTTGTACAGGTTATATTGAACCTGGAAGACTACTTCCTGAAGAGGACTACGTCCCCTCGAACTCGACAGAGATGAATTCCTTTGATAACGAGGGTTTGGAGGATTTCTGGAGACCATTTATCACGCCAACCTCTCCTGCTACTGAATTGGCAAAGGATAACGAAGGTTCTGTTCAACAATCAAAAAATACGTTGGAGATTACAAACGAAGGTGAAGAAGTTGGTGATGACAAGTCAGTGAAAACATCAAATTCTGACGTGAAGCCTGTGAAACGCAATAAATGGAAACCTGAGGAGATCAAGAAACTTATACAATTGCGTGGGAAATTGCATGACAGGTTTCAAGTGGCCAAGGGACGAATGGCATTATGGGAAGAGATATCCACGAGTATGTTGGCTGATGGCATAAATCGGAGTCCAGGACAGTGCAAATCTCTGTGGGCATCTCTGGTTGTGAAATTTGAGGTTTGTTTTTCTGTTTCTACCTTAGATTTTAAGCTTTGCTCTGTCATACGTGTAGCTGTTTAATTCCCTGCAATTCTCAATCCTGTTAGAAAAAGTTGATTTATAAATCCATTCTTTGTACAGCAGGAAAGCAAAAGTGAAAAGAAAAGCAAGAGTTGGCCATACTGGGATGAAATGAGTGGCATATTGTCTGATTCAGAGGATGTAGCAACAGAATGACGGTATGCTGTGAACAGCTACTGAAAGTTTTGAAGAAACCTAGTAATATTTATTGTAGCATGGAGAACCATTCTTGGTATCTTCATGAACATTGGTCCCAGCAATTCGAAAGCATATATGATTCCCGAGAGAGATGCTTGGTTTGTTCCATACTGAAATTCATAGGGAATCTATTTTTCTTTTAAGTTGACGAGTTGATCCATGAAGCCAATTTTAACACGATCTTGAGAGTTAGTTCGATGTCAACGGTTCGGGAAAATAATGTTGCAATTTATGAAATTATGTGGTAGGTGCCTGGCTTATTGGATGTGTTCAAATGTTCAAGTTATATCACATCTACTATTTCAGTATTCCATGTTTAAGTTGACAAGTTCCCTTTTATTTCTTTTTGAAGATAAATCAACTTTGAAGACCATTTAGAAGCTTCCTAAATTTTATTTTATATATAGGTTAATTAGAGGCTTCTTTTGTTATATTTTAAGATGTTAAATTGTTATGTTTTGAAATTTGAAAACAACAGTAATTCCTCAATTGTCAAAGTCAATAAACTTGAATGAATGAGTTGATCTTGGCAGGAGAATGAGATTTTCTTTCAAATGTAAAAAATAATGAAAATTCCTTGAGAATAATAGCCTACGCTCATTTATTTCTCTTGCACCCCCTCGAACTCCGAAAGAAAAATGAAGAAATTTTTAACCATATAATTATTTTTAGTTCAATAATTATTGGAGGATTTAAACTATAATCTGTGCTATGTTCAATATCCAATCATATCAACGTCTTATAAATTTCGAAAGATCCGATGTATATAATAATTGTTCGTCTTACCAATTTTGAAAGATCCAATATATATATATATATATATAATTGTTCACTTTGAGCATAGTTTCGAAGAGGGCACGTACAAATAGAGATGGGGCTCTCCACGAACAAAGCACCATTTTGTATCTCAATTGGAAAATGTAGTTGGACTATTTTCAACAAACTAAGCCCAATACTTTACCTCGCCTTAACTGGGCCGTTGTTGGGCCTGGCCCTTCCCACAAACGTTATCTATGACGTCGGACAAGGCGACACGTGGTTTGCGTGTATTCAGATTCCAATCGAATTTGACTGAAAGGAACAAGGGTGTGATGCATGGCATGACCTTCAAATATTTTTATCTATCCAAAGCTGCCTAAACTATTAAAACCATTTTTGGGAGCGGTTAAAGTTACAGATTTAATGGAATTGATTTAACACTTGAAAAATCTTAAACACTGTATTCAAATTAATCGAAATTAAAGTAACCAAATTGGTTGTTTGACAAATTAATTTTTTTAAAAACATTGTATCAACCAAGAAATTGCGTTACATTATATTTATTTATTTATTTAGGATGTTTAGAAAACCCCAAAATTTTGACCAGATTGGAAATATTATACAAACACTTTTTTTCAACAAGAAGTTGACCGAATAAAAAATTCCAATTCTTATTTCCCACTAAATGGTTCAAAATCAGTCTAGAAATTTAATGTTCTTTCCTTTAAAAAGCCAACGCAGAACGACTTTGATTAGAACAATTAAAAATAAGAATTCTATTATGAAAAAAAAAATAATAAGGATAATGGCTACGTCAAAATCGAGTCGGCCGAAATAATTTCGTTGTATTTTTCAAATAAAGAAAAATAATATTATACATATTTCGAATCATCTGGACAAGTCGCGGAGGAGGATAAGCCTGATCCAGAACAAATCGAAACGCGGTTTGCGCCGTCGTTTTAATGAATTATTAATATGGGCGGGAAAAGTAAGTGATATGTACGTGGCAGTTGACCGTTATTTAATAAATAATTCACGCAATAGATATTTCCACATTATTTTTTACGCATTTTAATTTTGACCCCTAAAACAAACAAACAAACAAACAAACACGTTTTGTTTTTTACTTCCCCTTTCCTTCGTCGCTGCTTCGAAGATTTTGCCGAAGCCTATAAATATATGTCATCCATGCCTGAATTGACCAAACATCCAAACTCGAGAAAATCCGAAGTTTTCCAATCTCGAATCGAAATGGAAATCAACAATTCGGCACAGTACGGTCGTGTGTTGAGTTACTTCGACGAAGATGGAGACGGCAAGATCTCGCCGTCGGAGCTGAGGAATCGGGTCGGATTGATGGGCGGAGAGCTGCTGCTGGGGGAGGCGGAGATGGCGGTGGAGTCGCTCGACTCGGACGGCGACGGGTTGCTGTGCGCGGGCGATTTCGAACGGCTTCTGGACGTGGGGGAGGAGGAGAAATTGAAGGATTTGAAAGAGGCGTTTGGTCTGTACGATTGCGAAGGTTGCGGGTTCATAACTCCGAAGAGCTTGAAGAGAATGCTGAGAAAATTGGGGGAATCGAAGTCCACAGCAGAGTGCAAGTTGATGATCGGTCAGTTTGATTTGAACGGGGATGGTTTGATTAGCTTTGAGGAGTTTCAGATAATGATGGCGTAACAGTGTGTACATATAAACACAATTCTTTGTTCATTGTTTGTATTATAATTTCATTCTTCAATTGGTTTGATTTGTTGAGATATTGTTATCATTATTATATATATATATGAATAACCGAGTTTCCAACAAAGAATTGTGTATGAATAACGGGGAGAAAGACGCCGCCAATACTTACTGGGATGGGGTTTTGACTCCATCACTGCCTTCTCTCCAAACTTCCTTCATTTATTATTTCCCAACTAACAAAAACTACAGACTTTCCTACGTTCTCGACTTTTTTTTATTCATTTTTTATAAAGGTTTCACAACTACAAAATAATAATAATAAAATAAATAAATAATATTGGTTCGTGTGGTCATTGGTTTGATTTTGGTTAATCTAGTCTTCTTTAAAAAGAAGTTTAATGTTCTTGCGCATAAAATTCGGTCTAGAAATTTTTGTGAATTACCCAAATTGCAACATTATATGGGTCTTGGATAATTTGATGACATGTGTGTCATGCTGTGAAGGCATTCTATTGTGTATTAAATTTTGATCCAAGCCCACCATAGTCTCACGTCTCATGCTTATAAAACCCTTATAAGAAATGTTTCGTTCTCATCTCCATCCCAGAGATCTCACAATTTCATATAATAGAGAGAGAGAGAGAGAGGTTACAAAGTAGAGTACACAAAAAGGGGCATCATATCATTGTATTGTCATTTTCCTAGAAAAGTTTAAATTTCTTTCAAGTTTCCTTCGTAAAAAACTCAATCAAGTAATTAACTTGTGGCTATAGCAACTCTTATGATGGAAAGGGGTGTGTATAAAAATCACCTATCACTGAGGATCGCCTTCTTTCAACCTCTACCAATATAATACTTTCCTTGGAAGCCACAAGTGAAAACAAATAAGGAACAACTCCCCATCCTTCAGCTATTTCATCCTCAGCTGCTCAAAATTAAGTAGACAATTCCATTCCCTTCCAGTTTTTCCTTCTCTCAGGATGATCATGAAGCGTGTCAATGGAAAAGACTTTTAAGAACCACTCAATAACTAATACAGTCTTCATTGGCCTAAAAATTTGAGCATAGTTACAGTTAGGGCGTCAGTCAATAGTTGAAAATAAATACAAGACATTGAAATGCTAAACATTATTACCTTCATTGGGCTTTGGAACTGTAGTATTGCTTGCTGCCTTCTTCGCGTCTCTTTTGGCCACCATAGCTGTAAGACTCGCAGATTATTATTACAAACATGGGGAAAACTCCTCTGTAGGCAACACGATTCAAGAGCCCTACTATCTATTCTTCTCACATTTACCTTTATATTTCCTTTTCTTGCTGGCTCTCCTCCTCTTCCTGTCGGATTGTGTAAGTTCAGCTGCTTCTTTGATGTCACCTTTGCCTGAAAAAACTTCCTCTGGAGCAAGCATCGCTGCATCCGAGACAGCAACGGGAGCAACCTAACCACATAACAGAATTATACTTTAGCTCATGCACTCAACTACACAAACACGTACAAACGGGATATGAGATAGAAGAGCAGTTACCTCTTCCATTGCAAGAGCAGGGACATTCACTGATATAGACATATCCTCAATAACCTTTACAAGTAAAGAATTGACATGTAGATGAGAAAATGGGTTGATAGATGGTCAATCAGTCCAAAATTCAAAGAATTCATTAGAAGCATACAGGTTTCGGTGCGTAGTGGTAATGGGAAAGAGCATCCAGCTTGGAGCAAAGTTTCTTGAAAAGTATGCTCGCCTGATTTGAGGTAAAGGTAAGGAAATCAATAAAAGAAATTATGGAGGAAGTAGGAAAGGTTATAAATGTTTCAAACTATCCAAATTTAATATAGTTTGATCAGAGTATCATACTAGAAATACCAATAGAATTGTTAAATTATGCGAGTAAAAACTCTTCTTGTCTCTTCATGAAGTGTACCTCATTCTTTGCTTCATCCGTGAATGTCGATGGGGCAGTAGCCAAATTAGTCTTTTCAACATACTCTTCCTGCAAAAAAATTGGAAGAATGGCCCCTCAAATCGAAACAAATTAAACGAGAGACATCCGGTAGGAAGAGACGGGCATGGCAGCAAGGGAGTGCGCTTAATGATGCATCATTTTTAGAAGAAACACAAACCTCGTATAGTTCACCAAGACCTTTCTTGCTTTTATTCTCATCCTGTTTAGAGAAAAGAAAATGTTACTACTTGAGCAAGAAAAACACTACAAGTGAATATACATATATAAATGTGAAAGGCACATACAAAAGACTTTCATAAAAGAATACTGACCAAGTCTTTGATTTCTCTGGGTGCTTTAGTAGGTCGCTTAGGTGCTTTCTGAACTTCGTCAAAACGCCCCTGAAAGCAAAGCATAAGACAATGCTGGTCAAATATTCGCAGCAGATGAGTACGGCCACTGTAAATCAAGCTCTTCCACGTCTTGTTCTCTTGGCTCAACATGTATCCATTTTTCTTCATATCAATATAAATCGTTTCTTTTATAAAAGAATATGGTTTGATTAGGCTATTGCCACTTAGTCAGACACCCTTTCTTTATAAGTGATGAGAATTATAAGAATTGAAGTTTTCTTAGATAGAAAAAGTTACCTCAAGGATCCTTTTCTTGATCATCTCTTCCAACGTTGCTGTAACTTCTTCTGTGATTACTGGTGGTGGTCTCACATTGTGCTCAAAATCTAGATCAACTTCCAGAGCACTATTCTTAGGTCTTTTTGCAGCGGTTACCTAATATTGAAATTGTAGCTTGAAGTGGCTCGAAATGATCGTATCTTGTATAAAGTAAGAAAACCAATAAAAAGATGACTTTACCTCTCCTTGCATGGTCCACGTTTTTGGCTCCAAGTTTGCTTTCTCCATCATCTCTATTTCAGATTGAAGCTTCTTAAGTTGTTTTTGATGAGTTGAAAGATTTTCAGACTTCTGTATATGCAACTCAAAATTAGAAACTAGAATGAGTATTCACATGAAGAAGAGCGCCTATCAATTTAATATGCAGCTGAAGTCGTGGAGGAAGATATGTACCCGTTCTGCATGTGCTTCATCATCATCTTCCTCTTCATCACCTGAATCTGAGAATTCAGACTCCGATCCATTCCTCAATTTAGACTTTGTTCTCCCATGATTCTTCTTTTTAGCACCAAAAAAGTCTTCGTATCTGCAAACAAAATAGATTCGCATCTATTGGAAGCTAATATTTTAAAGTGAAAATAGATCATCCTTTAGCTTATTGAAACTACTAAAAAATCACAATTATCATGAAGAACTTGAAGATCGTGATCAGATTCTGAGGATTTTCTCAGTTAATAAGTCTATTGAAAAAAAATGTAGTGAAAACTCAATATGCTGAGTTTTTTAATGTAGGCAAATAAAGAGATGTTGAATGACCATTTAATTACACCGGCAAGGAGATCATGAGGAATCAAACATTAACGATAACGACATTGATGCAATGAAAAGATTTTTACAATAGTGTAGTGTAGAGATGTTGGTCAGTCTGCTACAAAAGGAAAACTAAACGACAAAAACGTGTAATCTGAAAAATGAAAGAATCCTATTGGCAGACAATAATGTAGCTAAGAAATCTCATCAACCGGCTCCTTCCAGACAGCCTCAGATTTTTTTTTCCACAATCATATAGACGAGATGTTCTAAAATCAGTTACTAATTAATGTCGCTTTAAGTACAAATGCACACAAACTTCAACTAATATCAGAGTCATCCATCGCATTTGATAGTAACCATAAGTCCAACTAGACTAGTAGCATGAGTGTGAAACTATGCAAAACGAAATCAAGTACTTTGATCACTTTAAGGAGTTTGTCATTTACAAGCATATAGAAGAACAAATGAGCCCTAATACCTTGCCTTTTCCAGTTTGCTAGAATCTCCATCCTCCTCACCATGAAGGTCGAATTCCCCAAGCTACAAGGGAAGAAAATAGCCAACTTTAAATTTTACCAAAACAAGCATCTTAAATTAACAAATTCTGCAGCATGTAATAATATCATGAGCAATAAACCCTCATTAATAGCAAAACAAACAAATTCTGGAGAGGATCAGTTTGTTTAAGCAATGTGCCTTCACCTCATCATCTTCATCATCTTCATCTTCATCGTCCTCGGATTCTTCTTCTGTCTTCCTTTGTTTCTTTCCCTTCTTACCATCTGTCTTCTTCTGTAAGCCATATTCTCTTCCCTCATCCTCCTCCATAAACTCCTCTAGCTCTTTTAATTTCAAAAATCCATCCTCAATCCCACCACTACCATCTTCTCCCTCAACTTCACCGTCACTCACTTCCTTCTCTCCCTCCTCAGTGTCTCCATCTTCTTCATCGTCACTGTCCTCTTCTTCATCCTCATCCTCCTCATCTTCGTCGTCTTCGTCATCTAACTCCTTTATATCCTCTTCAAATTCATCGCTGCCTTCCCCCGACCCTATAGCCATCTCTTGAATAACATTCTTCTTATCTTCCAAAGACACCTTCAGGTTCGAAATTACTTCAGGATTCTTCTCAAACCGCTTCAAATCCCGGCGAATACTTGCCAAAAGAGGTTGGGATTGGAGGTCAATTTGTTGCCATATCTGCTCGGCATCAAATCCATCAACCAGGAGATGATCAAATGGAGATTTAGGACTGAAAGGTTTCAGCATAGCAAATAAGTTATGTGAGGCAAGGCGAGCAACTTTAGACAGGGAAGGGCTTGGAGCAAGCCAGAGAGGTGGGTCTGTTGATTTGAGATAATGAAGTGGATCAAGACCAGCTTCAGTGGTAGGAAGAACCACTTTCTCCGCCTCCATTGAGCTCTGTTTAACACAAAAGAATGATCCCTCATTCAACAGTGTCTCACGATAATATGAAATAATTCAATTATCAAATATAAATAAGTTTCAGACTACTTTTCACTTCTTGAAACTAAAGATATAAACAATAAGAACTGATAAGATTATAAGAAGCCATACATGAACGTGAAAACGGTGATCAGATCAGATCCCCTGGCCTTGCACACTGGTACATATCACAAAACACATCAACGGAGATACAACTTGATTATAAACAACAAAACAAAACATGAGAAAAAGATTCTTGAGATTTATTTCAAATAGTGCCGTTTCCATTATGGAGACAGATGACCTACCCCTGTTTGGAATCCCTGAATTTGGAAGGCTTTCCAGCAAAAAAAAGAAAAAGCAAGGAATTGGAAATCATGCCTTTTTAAGACGGATTTGACAGAATTTTTAACTTTAAAAAATCCTTTTCCAATTCTGCAATTTCACTCCGTCCAGGGGAAAAAAGTGTTCGTGAATTGAATTACGGTACATAATTTCAGTACAGCGAAACCAATGTACTATACTGAGTAAACCTAAAGTTGATTGGGCATGAGTTACAGCCAAACCTCGTCGAAAGGAAGTAAAACTCGTTGTACCTGTTGAAAACGCGGAAGTCACGTCGGGGCCGCCGGAAAACGTCACAAACACTGTGAAAATTAAATCGTCGGCGTTCAGATTGCGCTTGCGTCGTGAGTCCGCAGTGCAGGAGATAAATCGTGGAGTCGAGGAAAGCAGCCTGAAAAGCTGCTACAACACACTGGAAGCTCCGTTCGCGTGGGTCTCTGTCGGCCGGAGGGTGGCTGTCGCGCGGTGGTGAGGGAAAGTCGCCGAGTGTCCGGGCTGCGGCTGAGAAAACAAGAGGAGAAAGGGCAGCGCGGCTAGTAGAACTCACGAGGGGGGGTTTCCCGCTGTTTACCGAGAGAGAAATAGAGGGTGGCCTGAGGTTTAGGGTTTTTAATTTTCTTTTTCTCCTTTACTTTATTAATTCAAGAAAAAAAAAACTAAATTAATAAAAATAACATCAACTTTGCTTATTCTTTAAAAAATACTCAAAATATTCAATAATTGTCTATAAATTATCCAAGAAAATTCAAAGTGCCTTAAAAAAAAAAAAAAAAAACTCATCGATGATATTTAATCTAATTAATTTTAAATAGAGATAAATATTATCTTATTTAAAAAATGTCTTTCAACTTTAAAAAAAAAATGCAAAATATACTATAATAATATTAATATAGGGTAAAATAATGTGTGCCACCTTTAAAAATAATATTAAGAAAAAAAGAAGATTAATGTCTTAAAGTTTGAGGAAGAAGCAAAGCAAGTTTTAAAAGTTTTTACCATTGTTATATAAAAATGGTTCATGGAAACCATCTTTACGGATTCCATGTTGGTTGTAGATATGAACGAAACATTTTTTTATAAAGATGTATAAACCTCTCTCAAATAAATGCATTTTAAAACAGTGAAGTTGACAAATGACAACGATACATAATAGACTAAAGCAAACATGGTAATATTTTAAATTTATCGATGTTCTTGACCTTTATATTATATCTACAACTCTATTATTACATGATTGGGATCCTAATATTGAAAGTTTAAGATATTATTGTTCTCCCCGTATATTTATTTAACATTTTATGAGACTCTCTTAATACTTCATTTTGTATAAGATTTATTATGTTTTTTCAATTATGTCTTGCATTTGATTCAAATCCATTCCCTCGGTCTTTTTAAACATTGTTTTAATGATAATAATTGGCACATATATCTACATTAATATAATATTGTCTATTTTAGACATTTAAATACTTTTGAGATGACTTGATCCTCACTAGATGGTTGACTTTTGTTCTTTCCTTTCCCCGACATAAACCTTCAGTCCACCAGCCATATGAGCTGTCAACAAGGGGACAAAAACCGGCGCATTTTCATTCGCCGGTCTAAATTCAAACCGCTTCAAAACCGTGGCCATCACGTATTTCATCTGAATGAACGCCATTTCCTTTCCCAAGCACATCCTTGGACCGGCTTGAAACACCGGGAACTTGAACGGACTCACCGGTTTCAACTCCCCGTTTTGGAACCACCGGTCCGGTTTGAATTCGAGTCGGTCCTTCCCCCACAGCTCCTCCATCCGCCCCATTCCATACGGAAAATACGTGACTCTGTCCCCTTTCCTCACCGGAGTTCCATCCGGCAGAATATCCGGCGCCGCTGCGTGCTTCGAATCCCAAGCCACCGGCGGGTATAGCCGCATGGACTCGCATAAACACGCCTTCAAATACTTCATATCCTTCAATTCTTCGTAACCATAACCCAACGACGCAGTTTCGGAATCGCCGGACAATTTAATGGCTTCGTCCACTATGGCCTGTTCGACTTTGGGGTGCTTTGTGAGCAACCAGAAGAGCCACGTCATGGCGGCGGAGGTAGTGTCACGGCCGGCCATTATGAAGCTGACGACCATGTCTCTAATCACTTCCTGGCTGTGGCCGGCCGACAAGAGGCGAGATAACAAATCGCCGTGTGCGTGGTTATGATCGAGCGTATTACTATTGTTCAGGTTTCTGTTACGAATGATGTTGGAGACCCATTCATGGACCATTTCCACCGCTTCTTTGAGCTTCTTTTCGGAGCCGACGTTGAGCATGCGCTTGGCCTTCCACGTGACAAAAAGTGGCGCTACTGCCCTCCTTGCGCTGATCCCAGTTGCCGTGTCCAATGAATTTACTATTGCCGGTATTGGGCGCGACATGTCCAAGCACTGCTCATCTGTACCTACCGTCACCTAGGAATCCATGAGAATATTTGTTAAAACCACCCACCTAAATAATGGTAAGAACTCTTCATTTATAAATTACAAAAAAAAAAAAACGTAACGAGTAATAAATAAATACAAGATAATTCTTAAGAGACCAAACAAATCAAATAAAAAATATAATTAGAATATATTATAATGTAAGCATGCATGAAGGGTATGGTTAAGGGGAGACAAAAACCTTACAAACGGTGTCAAAAGCGAGTCTTCCCAAGACATCTTGCAAATCGAGGACGGCGTTAGTTCGAGCAGCGTTATGGAGCAACGGAATCAAACGGAGATGAACTTCATCTTCAAGTGTCTTAACCACGAATTCCCTAACGGACTTAGCGGAAAATTCATGGCTAGCAAGCTTGCGTTGGGTGGACCATAAATCGCCGTCGACATTGAAAATGCCACAGCCGAGGAGATCGCCGAGTATATCAGTAAACGGCTTCCCTTTAGGGTAGTTAACAAAATTGGTCTTGAGCATGTGCTCGACGTTGGCGGGGTTGGCGGTGACAACGGTCCGCCTCGAACCAAGGCGATTCACCACAATGGTCTGAGTGGGAGAGTGGGAAAGGAGGTGGGTGTACCAGCTTAGAAGGCGGCGCCGGTTTTTGTAAAAAGAGATCAAGCAGCCGATGAAAGGGTAGGAAGGAGGGGAATAAAAGCGGTTTTTGGAGAAGCAGTAGAATCTAAAGAAGGAAAGATAGAGACAGAAGAAGGCCGTGGAAGAGAGTGATAGAAGGAAGAAGAGGGAGAGGGCGAAGTAGATGAGTTGCATGGTGGTTGGGGTTTTTGGTTTCGCCCAAGTTTGAACTCAGTTTTGCTGTCTGAGAAGAGAAAGGTATTAACTAATATTTGTAGGGTTGGGAAATGATGAGTTGTAAGACAAAAAAGCACGTGTGAATTTGGGAGCCCAATTGACGTTATTGTCCAATCCATTATCAAAATTAAAACGTGCCATACTTTTTTATTTTTCATTCTATCCAACACACTCCACATCTTTATTATCATTCGCTTTTCTTAACTATAAATTATAAATTAATAATTAATTTGCATTTTCTTAGAATGAGCTGGATTAAAATTTTAATCAACAAAATAATTAGTCTTTATATTAATTAATAAGAGGGAAAAAAAAAAAAAAAAGAGGGTTAACTGTAATCAACAAAATAATTGGTCTTTATATTTGCGAAGATGAAAGACTTTAAGAAACAACAAGGTTGAGAGTAAATAGATTTTTCAAAATTGTGAAAGATATCACAAGTTTTCTATTGTGAAGTAGTTGGTCTTCTGAGTTCTCTAGGGAGGCGTCGTAGTAAAAAAACGTGGTCAAATTGAGAGAACAGCTGAATGCGGTCCAAAAAAATAAAATCATTTTTTGTTTCCTAATCCTTTCTCTCTAAATTTTTTATCTTTATCTAAATGTATCAATTTATCAAGTATATATTTAAAAAGTACACACGTGTTTTATTTACAAATTTAATAAAATTTGATATAATTAAACAAATTTAAAATTTGAATGGATGAAATTAAAGGCTGATTTTGAAATGATATCTCACCAAAGATTAGAGTCATAATGACTTTTTCTTTTTTTTGTCAAGAAAAGAAAAAAGAAAAAAAGAAGAGAGAGAGAGAGTGTGTAGAATAGGTGTGGGAGCATTATCTATGTGACCACTGATATTTTAGGGTTTAAAATAATGCCACCGTCCAAAAATGGAGGCTCCGACCCCCACTTGTATGGCCGGAGCCGCTTCTAGCAAGCTTTTTATTTTGTCTGCATATGGTTTGGTGGTGGGAGTGAACAGTGGGAGGATTTGGACGACATGTCGACAACGTCTGGCGATGACGGTGGTCAATCAAGTCACTTGGAGGGGGTGGGCCTTCCTCAATTCTTGTTGCCAATCATGGGGTATTTTCGTTACTATTTTCTTTTGTCGACTTGAAAAGGTCTATAAGTGGAAGAGGGGTCATTGCCCAAAAAGTCTTGCTTCATAGATTCCACTTGGCCACATTTCACAACACAGTTAAGCTACGTAGTTATGTTGTACATTTCCTTCCACGTTTTAAAAGTGCAGCAACCAATTTTTCTCTCTCAAAATAATAAGTGAGTGAGAATATTTCAAAGAATCGTTATAGATGGCAAAAAAAGTCATGTATTTTTTTGAAAATTAACTTTATAACATATTATTATTCATCTTTCAAGAAAGAAAAAACGTTTTAAAACTATCGCAAATGATTTGACAACGATGATTTAGATTAGAACACGAACACTTTTTAGATAAGATTTTAAAACTATACTCAAACGATGTATTTAGTTAGATAAGATCTTAAAACTATTATACTCAAACACTGATTTACTTTATGTGACAATTATATCTTAGAATCTGATTATCACATCTTCTCCCTAGTATAAATGTTGGAGTAAAATTTGATCGTTGGCAAAAATCTCAAAGAATATGAAAGATTTCAAATATGATTAGGAAGACTCGGTTTTCTATTCGACAGATTTTACCGTAAAATCGGTAATTATTAAAAAAAAAAACAAATACACTTTCTAATCTTATCTCAATAATTTAGGTAAGAACGTTTTTTCTCACCATCAAAATGGATACAAATAACCATGACCAACTTTTGTTTTCCAAAACCAACGTCAGCACAACTTGAAGATATTATGCTCTGTTCCTAACTACACATTTAAATGTTGAGAAGAAAAGTAATCCACAACTCCCTCGATTTGGGTTACTTGGCTCATGTTCATGGAGATTGCCGGTGTTCAACTCTTTTAGTGGTTGTCAACATCAGGGCTTCTTAGGTGGGCAAGTAATTCATCTCGTTAGATGGAGAGTCCACATCGACTAATTTAAGGAATAATCATGTATTTATGATCAAGTAATGCTATCTCCATTAAAATGGAGCATTTTGGGAAAGCCTAAAGGAAAACCATAAGATTTTATGCTTAAAATAGACAATATCATACCATTGTGACAATTGTGTTCATCCGACACATCCTCCCCATCAAGTAATCTTTAAACATCTTATAATTGAAAAGAAAAAACTGCTTTACAAACCATGTTAAAAATGTAAAATCAAATATCAAACTGATTTAAAAGCAATTTTAACTCTTTTAAAATCATCCCAAACATGTACTTATTCAGCGGGATGATGATAATATAATATACTTGCCTTCTTCTTTGAGCGAGAGGCCTCTGGCCTTGAGACGGGCAGGCAGCCTCTTTACAGTCGAAATATGTAGATCCTTACTAGGTGTTTCACTGTTTTATTCTCCTGGATGGATGCATGATAGCCACCATAGCCATCAGATTTGGAACACAATTCTAATGAAACCACAAGCTCATAAAAAAAAGAAGTTGAAAAACATCCTCTTTGCTTTGCTGTCTGAAATTATTTCACCAGGCATTGATCGCTAGCTAAACACTCAGGTCACCCAAATGTATTATTACAAAACATAGAGATATGAAAACATCACAACTTATTAAGTTCTTCTACCTGTAAACATCTGGTCCTTGATGGCTAATATTATGGAAGCCTGCAAAATGACAGTAGGCATCTCGCCAACATCCCTTAAAAGCACGAGAGAAGCTTAAAGCATTTTTTTATAATTCAATAACGTACACAGATTCAACTCCTCTTATAAATGCCATCTGAGACTCAAATGCATTATTACAAAACACGAAATTGTCAAATTTCCGAGGCTTCAGGTCAAAATGATCGATTAAACTATGCGTACTGAATTTTTCCTTATCTAAATTCGGAACAGAACAGAACACAAAAGAGCAAATTTCAAATCAAAGTGCGATTAGAGAAAAAGCATTACCGGATTTAAAGAAGGAACGGTAAGCCACAAGAACGAAGGTCGGCGAAAAACTTAGAAGCGCCATGAGCCAACGAAGAAGCGGAAGATGCCATGGCGAGAAACCCTCGCAGAGTAGAAAAGCAAAACAATGAGTCACGGGAATGCGTACATTCCAAGCGCAGTAAAATCTTTGCCGCCTGTTTGTGTAGCAAAGATAACCGAAGAATTAGGTTAAATTTCTGTAACAATTGATCTTATTCAAAAGATTCACCAATTTATTTAACAGTTGATCTTGATTTAAATAATTTGACTAAATAAATATTAAATATCGTTTTAAAAGTGGTTTGTGAATTTCAGCTATGGGCCGAGATTGCACGAAAGCTGCCGAAATCGGTTCATGGATAAATTACCCAACGGCCCACTACACAAGATTATTTTCTTTAAAAAGAAAAAAAAAATGATGAAATTGAGCGCGTGGGCGCCACGGAAGCACGTGAAGAGGCCACGACATGGAGCCACATCATCACGAAAGTGAAGACAAAGCAGGACGCAAAGTGCGGGTCCGGCGCAGTTTAGCATTTGCCCATCAGTGGTGATCAGTAAAGGTAGGGATAAGAAGAAAGAAGAAAGGTGGTTTGTTTATTTGCAATCCGACAAATGGGATAAGCATTAGCGTGCTGTACGTAAATGACGCAGATCTGTGTTGACCAATACACCCTCATCAAAGGTGTATTCGTCATCTCTCACCCGAATCCTCCACGTGTCCAGTCAAATCTCCCCTCCACAAAAGTCCGCACTTTGGACCGCCAGGATTAAATCAAAGCACATGGAAATAAAACCCCGTGTTGGACACTAGCATTCCTCACTGAGTTGGGACTTATTTATGGTAAAAATCATTCCTCAAGAACAGAGTTGGCTTAGAAAAAGCGGAAAGGAAAGTCTGTGATTGGAGAGAGGGAAGAGGAGAAAAAATGGTGATGGCAGCGACAGAGGAGAGTCCGAGAAGCCCAGAGGCGAAGGTGGGGATGCGAGTGGAAGATTTATGGGACGTTCAAGAGCCGCAGCTCAGTCCCACTGAAAAGCTTAATGCTTGCTTTGAAAGCATCCCTGTCTCTGCCTTTCCTCCTGCCCCTCTTAATCAAGGTACGTTTTTGGTTTGAAGAATTGCTCATTCTGTGCTCTTTTGAATTTCATAGAAGCCAATATGTTCTTCATTTCCACGTTGTTTTTATTGGTTTGATCATTTTGAAGTGTTGTTATTCAGTAATTGAGATAAAATCGGATAGCAGTCTAGCTGAAGCTGTTCAAATTTTGGCCCAACATAAGATCCTCAGTGCACCGGTGGTGGACGTTGACGCACCTGATCATGCAAGCTGGATTGATAGATACCTTGGAGTCGTTGAGTTTGCTGGAATTGCCGTTTGGATTCTTTATCAGGTTACTTGAATTTGAGCTTCTATGAATTCATTTGTGTTTGATTCTTCATGTTAACACGATTTGTGTTGCAGTCGGAGCCTCCATCCCCGAGAAGTCCTAGTGATGGAAGTGCTGTGGCGGCGGCAAGAAATGGGGTGATATCTCCTTTAGAACAGCAGGTACTCGGCCCAGAATCCGCCGCAGCGACGTCGGGAAGCTTTTTCGAGTCGTTAACTTCCTCTGAATTGTACAAGAGCACACAGGTTTGGTCTCGTTTTCAAGATTATATAGGTGATGAATGTGGATTGGCATAGTGTTGATCAAATCTTCTAAATGTACAGGTGCGAGACATCTCGGGATCTTTCCGTTGGGCGCCATTTCTTGCGTTGCAGACGTCGAATTCCTTCTTGACAATGCTGTTACTGCTATCAAAGTACAAAATGAAAAGCATACCAGTGGTGAACTTGGGGGAGGGAAAGATTGAGAACATCATTACACAATCAGCTGTGATTCACATGTTAGCAGAATGTGCAGGGCTTCAATGGTTTGAAAGTTGGGGAACAAAGACGCTCTCGGAGCTCGGTCTTCCGATGATGTCACCGGCTTCTATTGTCAAGGTGTACGAGGACGAGCCTGTTCTTCAAGCATTCAAACTTATGAGGAAGAAGAAGGTTGGAGGTATACCTGTTATTGAAAAGGGTGGGAGCAAGGCTGTAGGCAACATTAGTTTAAGAGATATTCATTTCTTGCTTACTGCACCGGAAATCTACCACGATTACAGGTTTGCCATCAAAATCTTCGTTGATTGGCAGGCAAAGTATTACATTTTGTTACGAAATGGTCGAAATAACACGGTCTCTTGTTTCGTTCTGACAGATCGATAACAGCCAAGAACTTTCTGACTGCGGTTAGAAGCTACTTAGAGAAGCATGAAGCGTTCTCTCCGATGCTGAGCGACATGATTACATGCAAGAAGGATCACTCTGTAAAGGATTTGATTTTGCTGCTCGACTCGAAGAAGATCCACCGTGTGTATGTAGTCGACGACAACGGCAATCTGGAAGGAGTTGTCACCCTCAGAGATATCATCTCGAGGTTAGTCCATGAACCTCGTGGTTACTTTGGCGATTTCTTCGACGGTGTTCTACCATTGCCTGAGAATAGTCGGGTTTGAGAGTGAAATGGTAGCCAGCATCAGCATAATGTTGTGGGCACTATACTTGGGATAAACAGTTTGGCCCTCTTCATTTAGTTTTCTGTTGGGTGTGTTTGTTGCTGTCCTCGATCTTCGATGGTTTGTCGAGACCGATTGAACGTGCAGATTGTAAACATAGGCAACTTATAACCTGTAATTAGTTCTCGTGGTTTTCCCCCTCCTTTTCCCACCTCTTTTTCCTTACATTTTCGGGAAAGACCAGACGGGAAACGAGTGCTTTTCCTTGGAAGTGTTTGAAATGAAGAGTAAAATTATGTTAACAAAGTTTTTAATGTTAACAACTTTGAGGTAATAGAGCTTTGAAAATCAAATGATGGGATGGAAAAGCTGTCATTGAATAATAATTGAGCTGATGGCTTCATCTGACCAAATGAATTGCCATATTGGCTAGCTGTGTGCAACTGAATGCACTCACTTGTTCCCCAAACTTAATGGGAGTGGGGAATTGTGGCGGTTGTTGGGTGAAAATCAGAGGCCCAGCAAAACACCCAAATAACTAAATGGCTGAGCTTCTCCCGGAGAACATAACTCACGGCCAGTCGCCACTTGCGGCTAAGAAAATGTCACCCTCACTCGCCCATAATACCTTCTACTTTTTATCTCAACTTCTATAAAGTCCCTGAAAAATGCAAAAATCAGTTCGTTTATCAGTTTTTTACTGATTTTCTGATGACGAAGAAACGAGGAAATAACTATGGAGTTTAGACACAGACAATATGATGGTTGAATCTATCTAATACATGTTGCTACGTCGTACAATCTTGTGGCAAAGCCACGATCAAATAATAATTCAACAACCCGATCGTTTGCAACGAAGAACATTGAAGTTTCCTGCCAATTTATGGGCCAAGGTGCTCCATATCATGGGTAGAAAAAATGACAACAAAAGTATTGCATTACTATAGATTTGACTCTTGCTTCTTTGTAATAGATTAATAGACCTCGGAGGTCGGGTCCGGGGGGTTTGGAGTTATGTCCACAATATTACTTGACCTCAATAAAGATACACAATCTAATGTATACAACAATGGTAATGTATTATACAGTGTACGAACAAAAGTACGATCATAAGCTTCCCAGTCTCATGTGTTCTATAACATTAGCAAAAAAGAAAGAAGAAAAGAAAAAAGATCAACAGCTCACCATCAAACAGTTTCAAGTCTGGATTTGTTTCAAGTACTCTTTCTTCTCAAGTGATGTGATACAGCAAGTGATCCTTCAAACAAATCTGATAGAGAGTTCTCTAAATCCTCTGGCGTGTACTTTATGTACTTCCCAGAATGCCTTCCGCTCTCCAACTGATTTCTAAACCTTCCTAAGAACGAGCGGTACGCAGGAATCACCTTCTCCGAAACCGATATGATCAGCTCATCGCGCAGTTGAGTATCCGACACCTTCCAAGCTGTTTGAACCCTGCAGATTTCCTCAAAACCTGCATTGAAATTCTTGAACTTCTCCTTCAAAGCTACCTTGGAGGCGTTGCTTGGGCTCCCACCAATGCCTTCATCCTTTAAGCAAGACAAGACTTTGCTCCAAGAGGCTCTAAGGTAAGTGGTTTCGTATTGGCGAATTTGGCCGCTACGCCTGCGAAGCCAGTTATCGCCAAGCAGCTGGGCAAGCTCAGAATCTTTCACCTTTTTCACTATGTACAGTATATTGTTCATTAGGAATATGAACTGCATAGAAACATCCTCATAAAATTTAGATTTTTCCACAAGATTGGACTCTAGAGACGATAACAACATGAACAGTCGACGAGCCAAAGGCGACGTGCTTTCCAACTGCAGTATATCATCGTTATCCTTCTCATTTGGCATGTCTTGTTCTTCCTCATCTTCTAAAAGAGAGTTCATTGTCTTACTGTAATCAACCAGCAGCCTAACATAATTCATTACATATCGAATGAGCGGGTGAATATCGGCATTTTGCATTGCCTTCTTTGAATTTTCGCTAAGAATAGCGTTCTCAAACTCTACAAAAGTTCCCGTGGCTGCTTCTCCCAGTCCAGACAATACTCCGTGTACTTCACTGATCAGAAACTCATCGGAAACCATGGCTTCCAAGTGTGGCAAGACGCCAGCCAGAGCGTCATACATATCCAAGATTCGGAACAGCTTCTCCGGTGACCTCTTCCCAATAGCCACTGCCTCACCGAAATTTAGCAGCTGCATTACACACCCTTTTGCTGTTTCGTTAAAACAAATCTCCTGGGATTCATTGGCGCCACTAAAAATCTGGTCACAGAGCCTCTTCTCACCGACCAAAATCAACCGGACAGTAATTTTGACGGCCTGGATCCATTTCTTCATCTTCTCGTCTAGAAATTTCCAGTCACTTTTCTGAACCTCCTCAATGCTGAGCCGTTCGACGCCAAGAATTGCCAAACACTCGTCCAAAGCATCGCGACGAACGGTGCTGTAGACTTGAACACACTCCTTTTCGTAGCCAGAGCGAATCATACGGTCCGCAATTTCCGAGAGATCAACAGCCGCATCGGGATGGATCAAATCGACCCAAGAATCTTCTCCAATTGTCGCACCTCGCTCATGGAATCGCCCGGAATTGCGACTTTCCTCGCCGAAACTCTCGAATTCGTCGTCAATTTCACTGTAATGGGACGCAAATGAGAGGTGAACTCTTCGGATCGAGCCATAGAGCCGATCGGCGTCGAGAGGAACTGTGCTCTGGATCAGGATATGGCGAAATTCGCTCTCGAGCCGACACATAGCCATTTGGATCGCGTTTTCCGCCCGGGCAACGATCTTGGTCGACTCGGACCCAATTGACAGGTCTTCAACTAGCCGGCGTATATCATCCACCGCAGATAAATATTCAGCCGCCTCGTCCGGCGAGTCCTCCCAATTAAGCGACGGTCTCGGTACATCTGAATTAGGATCCCAACGTAGAATCACCTTCTCGGCGGCGTCCAACCTATCGTTCTCGGTGTTGGAGTTGTTGTCACTGTTGATCATGCTACCGATACTGGAAAGGCGATTGTCGAAATTGGAGAGAATCAAGAGCATGTCCTCACGAACCTCTTTAGGGGTATTGAGGCTCTTGACGATCTGCTGCGCAGTGGCCAAAACGCGGTCGTCGACGCCGGTGGCGACATTGGTGTTGGTGGCGGCCATTTTAGGGAATATTCGGTGGAGAGGAAGCGAGAAGGGAGGAGGGATTCAGTAGCAAAAAGCTATGAAGCGTGGAAGGCCCGGTGTGGGGAAGCGGGGAAGAAGACGAAAAGACATTGGGAGGGAATTTTGTAGAGAGAAGGAAGAAGGGGCGGAAACGGAGGAGGAAGGAGGGTAGAATGGTGGGGGTTGGAATTTGGGAAAATGAAGGTTTGGGAGTCATAAATACTAAACTGCGGATTGAGACAAAGCATCTTCCTTTTGGGGCTCCTCTTTTCTGTGCTTGCGTTTGCTTTCCAAGTAAAAACCCTGCATGTCTTCCATTTTTGTACCTCTCTCTCTCTCTCTCTCTCTCTCTCTCTCTCTC